CACCCAGCTTGTCCAATAGCTTCTCACGGAAGAGGTCCAAGTCCAGGTTCTTCAGGAGCTGGCCTCCATCACCTCCTCCGTCAAAGGCAAGAAACGTGTGATCCGGCGCCTTGCACGCACTTCAAAAGAGAGACCCGGGAAAAGGCCCCGGGGGGCCCCAAGTCCTCTTCCCGGGTCTCTCTTTCACTCAATGCATGCGGCAGATCGCTTCTTGGACGGGTCCGGGGTCTTTTCGCGAAGCCGGACGTTGGAGGCCCACATCCACTCCGGAAAGTGAAACCCGGGCGGCGCAGGCTCGAACGTTTGCAGTGCTTTGATGGACTCGCAGCACTGAAACTGAAAGGCATCTGTCGTGGACATGTCGCTCAGGTGCTTCGCCAGCGCCAGACCCTCCAGTGTCTCTGCCCCATAGCGCTTGATCAATCGGGTGCCCGCCCTCCGGTAGGACAGCCAGGCCAGGCGCAGCTCGCGGCTGTATAGCTCGAAAGCCGCTGTGGAGCACGTGTCCGTGTTCAAGCTAGCTTCTCGCCCCGCAGCCAGGTTCAAGAACTTGCGGGCCCCAGGCCCAGTCAGGGACCACTGGGAGTCCTCTTTGAGGAGCACCTTGGGGACGCGGGCACGGGTGTAGATGCGAAAGATGTTCTTGGCGCACAGGGCGCCGACACTTTGCAGACCCTTCGCCAGAAACTCCTTCAGCACATCTCGCTTGTTGCGTGTGCATCCGGCCTGGTCTCGCAGGGGTAGTTGTCCAGCATACGCTGAAACGAAGAAGTTCTGTTCGCGCAGCCAGTCTTTGGCTTCCTCCACGTTCTTGTTCTGCAAAATGTGCTGCTTCACCCGCCCCCAAATGCTGAAGCTCGGGAACAACGCGCTTGGCGCCTCCGACTTGGCCACCAGCACTTCTGCCGCGCCCCGCAGCGTCCTTGCCTTGAGGACGTCGCTTAAGTTATCCTGAACCACCTGCGCAGCTGAAAAGCTGCAAAAGATACCCAGCAGGACGGAAATGGAAAATCGGGATCTTTTTGGCACCTGCTGAAGTATTGCATCCTGGAGCAGGGATGTACGATCTGATGCCTCGTAGTTCCACTGGTGGCTTCTCGCCATGGACAGCATGCTAACGCCCGTCCACATGAACTGGCAGCTGTCCAGCCGGAGCGCCGTTCGAGTCTCGTACTCGCTCCTGCATGTCACGCCAGCTCGGATGGTCCATAGCATGAAGAAATGCTCCCAAACCGCTTCCATTTGGGCACGCACTGGCCTCAGGTCTGGCCTGGGGTTGGCGTACCTTCGATTTGGCACATCAGCCATGGCCCAGCGCTGCCAGTATAACTATTTCAAATCACAAGACCAAATGTCAAAAGGTCCACTTGAGCCAAAATGGTGGCCCAAGTGGATACTTATTAAGAGTCAAGACAAGCGACCACCTACGGTTAACGCTTTAGCCCAAAACACGCATGTTGCACTGGGATCCTCAGCGCCAAGGCAAAGACACCATCAACAAAAAAAACTGATGGCAGCTGGAGGCTGGAGGCTGGGCGTCCATGCAGCCTTCCCTGTGGGAGGTGATCCTATCCACCATGGTGTTGTGAAAGCAGACCTCGGCACGGCACGCCGCCAGCTCACCCACCGAGGAAGGTCGAAAAGGAAGTAGAGGCGTGTACGAAAGTTGTGCGAATTACTCTCACACTTCCAGAGCACCCGCGGCTGTAAGAGCAAGCTACGCAGTCGAGAATGGAGAAACAATCTGACTGACGGATACACAGAACGGCCAGTTCTAAATACTTTCCTGACCACAGTGAACAATCACCGGTGCAATCTGAATCTGGGCTTGTCCCATGCGGGAACCCCAAAAAGTGAGGCTCCCTTTTGAACTCGCTTTTAAAGCACACCAGGATGGTACCCACGAAGCATGAGAATTGCCACGTCTGCGTGAACACGGGGGAACCAACTCTCAGAACTAAGACGGTCCAATGGGAGGTCCGGGTTGGTGTGTTCCAATGGCCAGTGGAGCGCCCAAGCCCCCAAAGAGGATGCCCCCAAGAAATGGTCGCACTGGGCTGGCCAGGGGTTTGCGTTGCAGCCGGTAGCAAACTGATGTTCAGGCTCTAAAATCTCAGCTTTCAACTAGGAGGGTAATCAAGTTGCAAAAGAAATAGCTGGCAGTGCTGCCCTGGCGTCACCAAAGAAACAACAAACCAACAAGCTTTCAATCCTACCAAGTTGAAACGACTGGGTATGGACTCTCGATAAAAACGGTTGCAAGAATAGTGAGCCACTGGGTGTTCGCTGGCACCTGTGCTATGACTGACCCTCACGGAGTGTCACAAGCTTCGCTCAAAGAATCGACTCGCCCAAGCAAGCGGGGCACCACTATACAAGAAAGACCTGCACTGCACAAGCGGAACAAACGCACCAAATCAGTCCAAAAGCAATGCATAGACCATAGTAGATCTAATGGAACCAACGCCGAAGGCATTTGCTGCACCCCCCCAAACCGATGCCCATCCATCCCGAGAGCTAAGGCTGGAAATCCAACAAGGCTTGGGCCCCCCTGCGCGCTTCTGCAGCCACGACTCAAAGTCTGCACACCTACGGAATCGGAACCCGACGAAGACAACAGGACTGCCAAAGGTCAGTCCTTTAAGTCGTCCCTGACATGGCCGTTGGGATTGGTGGTTTGGAGGTTGGGGTGAAATTCCACTTACTCTCCAGCACAAGGCTTCCGAATCCCCAACGCAACCAATCAGGGAGTACCTGAACAAAAGTTTCGGGGAGAAGCTGCTGCACACTCCCAAACAGGTTGAAAGAACCTTGAGGCTCCCAATCCTCAAAAATCGAATGCCAAAGGAGCTTTCAGGGTAGCTCCAAAGCAATGCCGCACCAGCATGACAAACAGAAATCGAGTCAATCTGGGCGCCACTCTGCCCAAAATCATTGCACGTTTTGTTTCTGGCCTAGCCTTTTGCCAAGTTCTTTGTGCTCGAACTGCTTCCGTTCTTCTCAGGGATCCTTCCCAAACCCAGGCCGTCGTTCGTCGATGTCCTGAGCACGCCCTTAGCGGCGCTTCACACCCCCTACGCACGGTGTGTGCAGCCTGTGCTTCACTCATGCCCCGCACTCTCAAAATTGGGGAACCCCCAAAATGGCAGCTACCTCTTTCGTGTCCCGCAAAATACACCTGAACAACAATACCCTCAACAAACACTGGCCATCCAAATGGGCACGTGTGGAACTGTATGCAAGTATCGACTAGTTCAAGCGTTGACCGGCGCCGCTCCCCTCGGCCTCTCGGCATGCTGCGTGAAGTCACAGCTGCAAACCTGAGGGTGAAGCCAGGGTTGGCCCCCTGAAAAATCATCGACCTACCCATGATGCGATGCCACACCCATCTGTTCCTCCATAGCTCACTGGAGGAAACCCCTTGGGGGTAAGCTGTAGCCCACGAAGCGGGAGGAAAGGCTAAGAGCCCCTTTCAACAAGACTATGCTGTTCTTGCAGGGCGAGTCTATCTTGTCTAAAGCTGGTGCCAACACAAGAAGCCTAGGGCTGTTGCCACCGCTTGAAACAGTAATGACTTGAATGTCAACTCATACCTTCCCCTCCCAGTGTCTCAAGAGGGCTCCATACATTTCCCTTGAAACATCACTCTGGCACTAGAGACTCCTGGGCCATGTGAAATCCCAAGCCCCGCAAGAGGCCCCGGAGATGCAAAGCTTCTCCAGCCTCTGGCATGGGATCCAGACGCAAATAGACTTGGCAGTTGCGGCACGTACCTTCCGACCTTTGTTGATCGTCTTGCCCGCCGTCCCCCACACCCCCCCCACAAGAAAACACAAAAACAAAACACGGGACAATTGAAAACGCAACTAGGACAAGAAGGGGAGCCTTTGCCACTGACCTGGCTTGCCCCCAAACTGCATCACTTTCAAGGCTGAAAAGCCTCAGATCGGACGTCAAAAGGATACGCCCGAATGTCCACCACAGGGCAGCCGCGCGTAGCTCCGGATGGCGTCCCCATTGAACGGCACATTGTCCGTGTTCAGTACGCAAAGCATCCGCCTTTGTCAGCGAACCCTTTGGGAAGGAGACCAAAAGGAAACCACTCAGTTTTGGGGGGGGGTCAACCCTATTTCGACACATATTCACAAAGGCCCCTAAGTTCTCTTACGTTGCAGCCTGGTGGTTCCAGGGGCCGACCGAGCTGGAGCCCCCATTTTATCAGAAAAAGAGAGGCCGATGTTCCCAGTGAGCTCAGTGCCTAGCGACGGATAGTATGTCTTCCTCTGGTGCGGGCCGAATCATCCAAGGTGTCTAACTGCTAGATAAAGCCGATATTCGATTAACGTTTACTTGAATAGTCACGTGCTTGAACGGAAAGCAAGCCAACATTTCTATGCAAGGTGGGGCTGGTCAAAAGATGTCAAATGGGAACAACTCGGAAGGTACGACTATTTCCTACATGGCCATTCCATCCAGGCAAAGGCGACTGTTGGGAACAACGCAAGGTTTCGAATTCTGCAGCTACCAGTCAAGTGCATTCCTCTTCACGCCCATCAGACTTCGCGCGCAAGCGGCATGCGCAACGTCCTCGGGTGGCTTCTTTCTTCATTGGGTTCGCAAAGGCACCATGTGAAAAATAGCGGTCACCACTCAACAGCCCTTGACATCTAGGATGCAAAAGTTGATCTTTGTTTACCGCACTGCTGGGCATGCTGTTGCTTGTAGCCATAGCTCCTGTCAAGGCTGTTCAAATCCGTAGGCTGACGAAGCCGGAAAAGAACCTTTCATTAAAACTAAACACAACACCCACTCTCGGCATTGGCTTCTAAAAATGATTGATTGACCCCTTGGCCAACCGACCTTGGCCAGCTCACAAACTGTTTGCACCTTAGTAGCCCACCCAGAGACTGGCAGTCGCCAGTTTGCAAAAGGTGGGCTCCAAAACTAGCCCGAACACGCGCCTAGACCACTCGAACACACGATCCTCTACTGCCCTATGGCTAGCAGAACGTCTGGCTGCTGCTAATACCTCCCCTGCGGCGCCTGGAGGGGTCATCCACCTCGAAGCATGCCTGCCGAGGTGCCAACAACTGCCACATGCTCCAACGACATGTGAATTGCCGCGGTTGCATGCCGAGCAACAGGCCAAGTCGCTGGGAACTAAACTGGCCAAGCCAAACCTGAGGCCCAAACTGGCACAAATGGATGCAAATTGCAGGGTCGGAATCTCAACCGGCCTGCAGTTGAACGGTAGCCCAGGCACAAAAGCAATCAACAACCCTCTTCGGGATGCGCCCCACAACTGGGGGGGCCAAAGAACAGGGTGCCTTGAAGGATACATCGGCCAACTGCTTTACAACAAGATCCTGTAAATCAGCCGGTATTTTTGGGTGACTTGTTTATCTGGCCACTGGCATCCTTGAACAAACCCTGGCGAAAGTGAATGACCCTCCGAGGGCAAGGCATAAAGAAACTCGGCCAGGTCCAGAATGGAACCTCGCCAGACGCTCGCGCCTTTCGGGCGGTGAATGAGTCTGACAAAAAGGACCACATGCTCCGTTTGCACTGGAAAAAGCATCTCGTGGCTCGATGTAGGGAATGTTCCACGCTATGAGTTGTCAATGGACCCTTTGGACACCACTGACATTTTTACAGGGGTGTACTTTCCCTCTTCGGGGTTGTAAATACGGAAAACCCATTTGGAGTGAGAGAAGTCCATCGTCCACCGACCAGGCTCGCAACTTGGCCCCCCAGCGGCCGTTGTGCTCGATGCCCGCCTAGCCGAAGCTCAAGGCGCCGGGCGGTGGTGCTTCAAAAACAGGAAACAAATCGCTAGACCCGGGCGATTCTTAACATGTGGTTAAGAATTTTTTCCACAATTCCACAATGATGGAAACATGGTACCAAAATTATGGGACCATTGTGGTTAACATGCTGTTTGTTCTTGGCTCCGGAGGCTGTGCCGGACGCAAAACATGTTGTTCATTTGGCATGTCTTCCCGTTGCCTTCCCATGCCTGCACAAGCCATCAATGCACTAGCGGTTCTGTTGTCAGTTGACCATGTAGCCGTCAAACTCAGAAAACAATATGGGCCGGCAAAAAGAAATATGCGCTAAGCGACGTGTTGCAAGTCGCTGCGCAAGTGCCGCGCTTTGGAGCCGCTGTGGAAGCAAAGCCGTGCAAGCGTTGCGCTGCACAGCGAAGTGTGCAAGCCATGCGGTGTAGGCACGCTACTACTTGCTGGTTTCGCAGCCAAACATATTTTTCATGTTAGCCCCCTGGCGCCTCAAACGTTCGTTGGTGAAGAGAGTTGCTGGGGTTCCAGACCCTCGACTGATGACAGATTCGTGATAGTTGCTCCCTCTTTGGATAGTTGCAACAGCGTATAGACAGTCGCAGTGTAACGCCATGTTACATGAGGCAAACGCAGATTGCATCTCTTCTCCTGCGTGGCAGTGTGTTAAAGCAAATCAACAGAGCGGGCGAGCCTCAGACTAATCTGCTGAGCAAAGCGAGCAGTCAGCTTCCGGCGCCTGCTAGTCCCTTGCCTTTCGGAGTGGCTTGATGGCGAGCCAATGTTGATCCCTGCGATGCGTCGTGTTGCCAATGTTCCGAGCACTTGGCCTGCTTTGCCCAGCTGAGCAGTTTGAACAGCGAGCGCTGCTATCATGCACCATGGCGGTTGGATGCGCCATTCGATGCCTTGAGCTTTGCTGGAAAGTGGCAACAAATGTCAACGCTTGCTGCATGCTGCAAACATCGAATTTCCTGTTTCCAACGAGGCAACAAGTACCCTAGCGCAGTCTGTTACTTTGGCTCATCTAATCTCTAATCCGCCTGGGTTTTCATGCTTCTGATTCTCTGCTTTCTTGCTCTCTGCCTTTATGGCTTTACATCTAGTGCACCAGTCCCAAAATCACCCCAAACTATGTATTCCGTTTCGACCCTGAACAAACCTTGCGACATTGCCAGTCGACCCCAAGAACTCAATATCACATTCGAGCCAAGTCTAGTCCATGCTAATGTTCAAGCCCTCCCCGCATGGAAACCAACCCTGAGCCTGCCCAGAATACCCCTTAGCCCAGCCCGCAGCAAACCTAAGCCAAGCCGTAGCCCTCAATCAACCTTGTGCAATCATGAGTAGCCTAAGTAAATACACAATTCAGCGAATGGCAGCGGAATGAGCCACTCAAGATATTGTTGGGCAACATGTCGGTCCATGACCTGTCCAAAAAAGCCGAACACTCCACAAGGAATTGGGACGTGTTGCGTTTGGGGATCCCGGCCGGGCTGGAAAGACATGTTGGCGGGCGCTGTGAAGGCACCACGACGCTCCCCTCTGCCGTTTGTTTTTGGACCTGGGCAGTGCGAACAAGAGGCAACGTATGGCAACGTAGGTGTACTCCAACCAGCTGTCGCTTGTAATATACGAAGCAGGTGATGTTTTTGTCGCCACGTCGGTCAAGCCATTTCTTCCATTTGGTTAAGACCCCTGGAAAAAATGAAGATATTTCCAATAATACATTCCTTTTGACACCAACAAGGGAAAATAACACAATATTCTTGAGTAATGGGAGATTAAGCAGGAAGTGCAGAAAGGCAGTCCTGCATCTGTCCATGTGCATCTTTCCTTGCTACGGTTCCTGCGCCTCCTTTTGATTTTTGTTGTCGTCTTGCGCACCTCGCCTTTGAATCTCAGGCGCCCAAACTTACTTGTGTGCGCCTTTCTCGATTCAATCCCCATCTTCAGCTAAATTGCGGGAAGCATTTTATTTGTGTCAATAAGGCTTTTCATTGGCAAACCCTTTCGCGTCATGCCGCCTTCTAAGATCCTAAGCAGTCGGCACATGGCTCATGGGAGCATGTGGCAGGCTCTCTGTGTGTGCGTGCGCGAGCACACGTAAAAAAACGCAAATCGTTCAGGTGGTCGATGTTTGATCCTCCGCAGCTGGTCCGTGCTCCAAAATAGCGTTAATCAGCAGGCCTGCAGAAGCATGCGCAGGCGCAGGTTTCGGCTTTGTTATAGGCGGTGGCAAGCACGCCAACACTTCACCGACTCCCAGTCCAAAAAGCAACTATATAATTATTGCCATCATGCGCTTTCATGATCCGCGGCAAGCCCCGGCGCACACCTCTGTCAACCCGAGGCCAATGAAGGTCAAGTTTGGCCTCGGATCCCCACTAACCAACAGACCGTCCATCGGGTTTCCGGAAAAGAAATGGCTGATGTTCCGTTGACTGCCTGGCTGCCTTTCTTAAAACGTGTCCCTTATGGAAAAACCGCAGCCCAAGGCAGCACCGCAAAAGACAACAAACTGAGTTCGAACATTTCCACGGCCCGGGCAACCTTACAAGCGATAAGGAAGAGTACCCCCGTGTCACGCACATCTTGTCACTCAGACTGCCCACAGACCGATTTGGGTTGTATTTTTCTCCATGGAACCCCAAAAGCGGGGGGTTCAAAAGCAGGTTCCTCTTGAAACTGTGGAACTCGGCCGCCAGAACCGAGCTTTGGCCAGCGCGGCGCTGAGCGGGCGGCAAGCGCTGGGGCAGCTTCATAAAGGCGCTGCGACCCTCAGGCCTTCCAGAACAGTCTGTATGAAGGCTCCAGGGGCCTACATTTCCCAACCAACAAAAAAACCAGCGTTTTTCCCCAACTAACTGACAACTGTAGGAGTTCTGCCTTCCAATCCAGAGGGGACAGTGATTTGCGAGATTTTACGCTATCTGGGTCCATGTTTTTTTTCTGGAACGAACGTTGCCCATTACTTGCTAACATTACCATTTCAGGTGCGAGATGGCCATGAGCTACTGCAATGTGCTATCCTTCGGATAGAAAACCCCTGGCGGTGGCTGCTCCTGCTTTTGCTGGCATTGTGGCGCTGGTGACGGTCGCTGAGGCAGCAGCCGCTGTTTACATGAGGTTGGCCCGGGCTGGGTGCTTTTGCTATGAGATGGTATGTGACCTCCAATAATACTGGTCCTTTCGTGATCCTCAAAAAAGTCAGCCTCAACACGCATAACTCGATGGAAGCTGTTGTGCAGAGCTGTCGCGCCCACTGCCTACAGGAGTGTGAAGACGGTGCAAGGATCTAACTCAGTCATGACCCAGGCTTGGTTCAACTTTTGCAGTGAAATTAACTCGCTGCATTTCCCCCAAAAAGCTTAGCCCGAAAGCTCCTGATCCCATGCTTTACTTTTACCAACCCTGGGGTTTAAAAAAGGCAGGGATGCCTTCAAGGTCAAAAACCATCATCACCGAATTCTCTCCGACACCCTGGGTGTGTCTGAAACCAGACCCCTACAAGTGGTTGGATTCTCTTCTCCCTGTAAAGTCAACCTAGGCGCACTTGTTCAGGAAAAACCGACCACTTTCAGGGAAACCCACTCTGGTTGTGTTAAGGTTTCTCCTCAAGCCAGAGTCACATTTGTTCAGGCTGTCTGCGCTCTTCTTCTCTGGGCGCGCCACTTGCCCAGCGTGCCACAGGCAGCAATGGGCAAAAGGGAGGTCATGACGCGACCGTCCTTGCACGGGCCAAGGTGAGTAGAAGGACAAAAAGCACTCAGTGGAGGATTGGACTCCAATTGGCTGTGGACATGAAAAGCATGCAGCATGTTCATCAACAAGGTGTTGATGAGGAAAGTCCGCAAAGATTCTTCAGCCTGGGGCTTAGCAATTGCCAGGACATTGCCTGAGCAAACTCCTGTCCGGCTCTCTCAGGGGCCCACTGTGCCTCCGATCAAAACTTCTACCTTTGGCGAGTTTTACGTTGCGAAAGGACAAAGGGGATGACTGGAACCTATGGGGAAGTCCGCCTTCCAATTCACCCAACTACCTCTCGGTGTAGCAAGCTCAGCCCCTCCTGCAATACGGTATCCACTTCATAGGACCGCTCTGGGCAGCGGGTGGACATGTACCTGGCCAAGCGCCACAGGAGAAAAAGACAAACTTTGGGCCAGAACCAGCGCAGGGCGGTGAATAAGTTGGCTGTGGGTCAAAAAAGGTACCACAAATGGCACCCTGTTAAATGGAAAGAAGAACTAAAACCTGCGGTCCCCTGGTGGTGAAAATTTGACCCATACCCAGTTTGACCAAACTGAACCATGATCCATCCTACCTGGTTTTGCTCTTTGCTGGCGACCCTTGGGTAAACATCTTCTACCTCGGGATTGCGTGCACCCAATACTTTTCAGGGTAGATATCCCCAGTCAATTTGATGTCATAGCCATTTGGGTGTTCTACCAGTAGATTGTGGGTGCTACCTTCTGCCGGCTTCTGCCAACTGCACGAGGTTGTTGTCAACGTCAAGGCGAAAAACCAACTCAACCGTCGAACTTTCCAACCCACTGTGCAAAAAACTGATTGATGTTTTTTGCCGGTCCTTGAGCCGTGCATTTTCTTCAGATCAACTAGCGACGCGCCCACAAAACTATTCAGTGTAGTTGGCCCAACCAGCATCTCCGTGCAATGTTGCAGGTAAATCATGTTGCCAAAGATGAGAGACTGGCAAAGCCATCAAGTACAACAATTATACTAGAATTCAGTCACCCAAGCAGGTAGCTCGACAATCAAGCAAAGAAGTGAGTGCTTCTCAAAACAGGTATGTAAATGTTCTAGGGTTGGGCGGGTTTCCTCTTCACACTGAACCGAGCGGGGCACCCTCGACCAAAAAAGAAAGAAGCGGCAAGCCAACAGGTACCTTCTCGAAACAAAAAAACAATAAGCAAATGGAAAAAAGAGAAAAACAACGAGAACATAAAGAACCAAAAAAGAACACAACAAGCCAACAGGTACCTTCTCGAAACAAAAAAAAGAACAAATGGAAAAAACAGATAGAAAAACAACGAGAAAAAAAGAACCCCAAAAAAAAACAACAAGCCAACAGGTACCAGTCCAGACTCCCGCTCCCAACTCCGCCGGAGCCGCTGCGGGAAGCTGCTGCCTCGTGTCTGCGCCTGCGTGAGGCTTGGGGAATCTTGTGGAGGCCCGGTCAAAAACCTCCATTTGCTTCACTCCCCTGGAAAACAAAAAATATCTCCAATACTGATAGATTCCCTTCAAAACCAACAGGGGAAAATAACAATATTCTGCAACAAATGGAAGCAAAGCAATGCCGGTGTGCAAATTGGACAGCCCACAGCACACACTGCCTGAGCGGGAAATGCAAAACCAAGTATACAAACTGTTTGTTCACCACCAAAATGGCCCTTCAAAAATTTAAAGTCCATGAGCTCAGGGAGAGAGAGAGCATTTTGGCAAAACCAGAGAAGTTGCATGCTTTGAAGCGAAGGTAGGAACCTACAAAGAAGCCATCATGAAGTAGCTTCTGAATGGGTGTCACATAAGACTAATGTTAACCCATAGTTGATGAACCTCACATTGCCCACTAGCTCAAATGCACAAGACCCCCATTGGGGGATGGCCATCAACTGATTGTCAAACCCGTCAATGCCAAGGCATCCAGCCAAAACGGGCAGCCAAACGACGCCCTCCCTGCCAAAATGGTCTCGCCGCCGATCTCGGCCAGTGCGGGTACCAGCCTTCGGTCGGCCGTGCGTGCCCGAAGAAGGGTCCTGATCCAAATTTGGTGGTTTTGGAAGCTGAGGCCTTTCCATGAAGCAAGCAGTGGAGTTTGATTCCACCTTCCCCGGAAACTCTGGCAACCTCATCCAGCAATTGCATGATGCAACTTCAGGCAGTGCGTGATGGAAAAGCAACCGGCCTTGTGAGCAGCCAGGAAGGGTATGCGGAGCATCCGGGTACAAACCAAACCACAGCGTGTTGAATTCCCATGGGATGCCTGCAAATCAGGTAGTACCATCAGGTGGGTCAGAATGCCGCCACGTCAATCATCCATTATAGGCACTGTCGCCGCTAATGGGCTGAGTCATACATCTGCTGCAAGACCATGCCTTGGGCGGCGCGCCCTCGCACCCTCCCAACCGGAAGTAGGAGTCCCAAACTACCGGACTAGGTTGTCAAAGAAATGGGATTGGAGGGTGGTCTCCCGTTTGCCCGCTACAAGAACCAGAACCTCAAATCCTCCAATCACCAATGCTAAGTGTTACCTGAGAACTGGTGGCTTCGCCACGAAGAAGCGATCTCCGAGCTTCCTTCAAGGTGGGCAACCCTGATCGGCAAGGCCCCAGCATTGCTCGCAGGAAGCGGCCGGTACCTCGAACGCGGACACGCCGATCTGGGTAATGTTCACCCCGGATTAATGAACCCCTGGTTGATTAATAGGGGGGGGTTCCCATTTAGTGGGGATTCATCACTTTTGGAGGGAACACCCCCTAATAATGGGATGGGTTTACTAATCCTGGGTCAACATTACAGTGGAATAAGCCCTTATTCATTGATAGGTCCTTTGGGCTTGGAGCTAAACTGGACCTGCCCCTCTGCCTAAGTCCTTGATCTCAAGCATTTGTTCTCGCATTGCTGAAAAACATGGATGCGACGAGTCGCCGATTCAATGTATTTGCCCACACTTGATGAGAGTAAAGGAGCCAATGCTTCTTTCTGAACAGTCAGGCCGTCCACGTTCTTTCGGGGCCGTCCCTCGTAGAACCCTGGGCTTGCGTCCGGCAGGGCTTGTTGAGAGCCTGACCGATGCACACGGATGCCACATTCTGAAAAATGTCATCATCCCCGGTCAGCGACTCGAACCTGCGGCAATTCACGTGGAGCGCGCGCGACGTCTTTGCGCTCGCGCAGCCCGGCGGCCGCAAAATCTCGATTTGTTGGATGTGTGTCTCAAAAAATTGGAGGACCCCTCGAAAAAGCAGAAAAAAAAAACCAAAAAAAAAAACAGAAAACAGGGGGACCCTGCAGCGTTCGCTTTTTTTTATCGCATTTTGAGGGAGGCGCTTAAGCAGCCTTCCCGTGGGTCAAGCGGGAAGGCGAATGGCCAAACTCCAACCCATGGGAAAACATCTCGAGCCCGAGCAAAACTGAGCAAATCAACGCAACCGTGAGGTGGGGAACTCTTTGCAAAACAGATCATGTTGAGAGAGGTCTGAAAACACGTTCGTTTTTCCCCCCTCAAGATTCTGGTTTTGTCTTGTCTGGTTGATGTTCTAGCCTTTGTTTGTTTGTTTTTCTTGTGTTTTTTGTTGGTTTACTCAAGGTGTCTTTTTTTCTTGGAGGGTTCTTAAATTGGGCGGTTAGGTTTTCTCCTTTTAAGGAAAGCAAGACAGAAGCTACAACTTTGTGTTCCTTATTCGATAATATCTAAAACAAATTGTTGTTATTACTTAAAGTCCTACTTGGAAAAGCCTTCCTATGTGAAATCAATTCTATATATAATAATTGCAATTCGGTCGTACTAAACATCTAGTCTAATGACATGTAAGAAATCTATTCAAATTGACGAGAAGACTCAACAGGCTATAACAGGCTCATCATTTCTTACCAGGTTCTAGCTAAACTACAATTCAAATCTGTGTGCAATCCTTGCTGGAAACAAAATGCCATTTAGAATTGGAAGGAATTCCTTCTTAAAATATAATTAACAAACATTCTTGATTAAACTGCAATTTAACGGAAGGACATGTCCATTTTGAACAGCTGAATCAAAAAAGAGTTCCAATCAAATTCCAATTGAAGTCCTACTTGAAAGGGAAGTACTAGTTAAAATCCGTTTCACAATAAGAATTCAAATTGATTTGTAATTGAAATCACATTTAAACTTACAGCCTTGCAATTCAAAACTTACAAACCAAAGGGGGCGGAATTTGCATGTTCCCTGCTTGTTTACTGGTTGTTCACTCCTTCTGAGGAGCTTGCAAACAAAAAGGCACAGCACGCTTGTCTATCCTTAGTCGATCCTGTTCAAATCCTAACATTTGGAAAGAACATCCTATTGGATTTCTAGTTCAAAGTAAGTTCTTAAGTTGAATCATAATCAAATTACGCTTAAATGCCGCTTAAAGCTTAAATCGGTGAAATACAAATATTTTACACCCAAAAACTAAATTGCAGCTTCCTTGAGTTTCTATCGGTTGGTTCGCTCCTTTAAAAGGGCAGGACAATTCAAGAAACAATCAGCTTGCCTTGCCATACCGGATTCTATTTGAATTCTAAGTCAATTCTAATACCAGGCAGGAATGAAAAGAAAGATGCTAAGATAATTCCAGCTGGTCTGGTTTGAAAAAGCAGCAGCAACTAGCAGCATGTTACAAGAATCCATCTAGAGGACCCCGTTGAGTGATTTAGAACTTGGAGTTACAAACACTCTTCAGCAAGCAAGCGTACAACTTGCTCAAGATATCCAACCTCAAACCACAAAAGCTGTGCACTGCTTCAGTCCCAGTCCCAAAGAATGTGGCTTTCCTGCTGTAAACTGGGACGACAACAGGCCAAAGGCTCAATTCACCTTTGACAATTCAGAACTTGCCAGGCGAATCTCTGGCCCTCACCGAGGCCGACGCGTGATGGTTGGATCTGCGGCCGACATGGCACGCTTCCACACCACCCGCAACCCCTGTGCAAACGCCTTCCGCGCAACAAGCACCTTTGTTCATGGCTCAAACCCAAAAATAGTCTCCTCAGTCTTGCATCAGCGCGGCCAAATAAGTGGCACCTGTCTGTCGGTTGCTGGGCATCGCGAAGGCTAAGCTAAGCTTAGTTGAGCCGAAGGTTTTGGACAACGCGGTGCAATGCTCGCAACAAATAGACGAAGCTCTGCCCATTTCGCCATGGGAAATGGAACCGCACGGGTTGCAAGTCTCACAGCTCGGCTCTGCACTTCTCTTTTCCCTGGCCCTTCAAGGCACGTTGGGCTTCGGATGCAGAGCCATCTTGGATGGATCTCTTCGTCTTGCGTCGGCAAGCGACTGAAATCTGAGGCATTCAGGCGGCCGCTTGTCGGCCATCCCTTGCCTGCCATTTACTCTGCCGATTTGTCACCCCTTAATCGCATCAAGGGTGAAAAGGGAGCCCCTTTAATAAAGCTCCTGACAGTGTTTAGGGGGGGCCTCACCAAACAAACAGGGGGTTTCAAGGGTGATATCTGTAAAACCGGACTCGACCAGGTCAAGCCCGCCCCGCGCCGGCAAGGCGCTCGAGCTGCGGAGTTCAGGTGCTAGGGGTCCTGGCAGGAGCTGCAGGCAGGTCTATGGCTATGGCGACTTCAGAACCCTGAGTTTTGTTCAGGGAATGAGAAATGGAAAAACCATGCCTTGTGGTTTCCTTCAAGACCCCCAGGTTCATTCCCTTCCTGGCTGAGCTCCCGGCAAGTTGAGGAGAGTATTTGAAGAGCCCAAGTGTTCGACTAATTTGTCTACCCCACATGGTCGTCCGCTCTCATGTTAGGACAAAGCACATTCGAATATATATGTATATGATATACAATACACATCCAACCGAACCAACCATGATGCAAACAAGGCAATTATAACGCACAGGACATAAAGCAAAGAAGCAAGACACAGGACATCACGCTAGATGATTCAAAAACACTGCAAACACCACCAACACCCAACGAACAATTGCGTATCACACCAAACAGGTGCAAACGATGCCAAACAAATGAACCCACCCCAGGCCAAGCGAAGCAACGTACACTAAAGCAAGCACCACACCACATGAAACCAAAGCATACCAAAGCAAGAACATCCAACAGAACGAGGCAAACACAATCATACAAAACAAAGCAACACATCTCGAACAGAACCGAACAACGCATCCTCCGTGAACGGGTATGTGTCAAAGCTGGGGATTCCCCCAAACCAAATGGATGCTTTCCTATTGGCCTCCCTTTGGACCAACCTGCAAAGGGCAATCATTAACTCAACTTTTTAATAATAGGGGTCTTTGTCAAAAAATAGTCTTTGTAGGGTTGTCGCAACTTGTATTTGTTTCAATAGGCTTTGGAAGCATAGGGAATAGAAATACGCCGATCTTGTAGCCAGTGCTGCGAATTGGGATCCCAATTCACCCCTCGCAACGCCTCCATGGACTCCATGGTGGGCGGCTCGTGCCAGCTGGGCGCGTTGGGCAAATCGCCTCGGCTTACACGGCAACGACTCGCAGCCGATGCAACGTGACAAATTCGCGACTAGAGAGAGTCTCCATGACCCCTAGAAAAAGGGGTCATAACCCTTAATTTTGGGTGACCCCATTTTTAAAGGGTCATGGAGACTCTAGGTGTATCAAAGGACACATCCCTGTGGCTCACCTATAGCCCTGAATCAGCATTGCACGCAGGTTTTGAAGCATTCCCTGGGCATAGCTCAGAACCACAAAGGGCCTGAGCCAAATAACTAGCACGTGTACCAGCGATACCTCAAATTCCAATTCCAAGGTTCGCAGAATGTGGTTCTGTTCTGTTTTTCGCTCCAAACGACGATATGCCCTCGACAGCCAGATCCGATTCCAATCGCGAATCCTTACCAGCAAGAATAATGCCTGAATACCTTGCTGGTGCTATGACCCTTCTAAACCATGCCCACTGGTTTCCTTTAAGGGGACGCCTGGGTTCATTCCCTCATTCCCTACTTATCGCACGAGCAAAATGCAGGGTTCTGCACTCCAAGGTTCTCAGCAACTGGTCGTGCCCCAGCGAGCCCATGATCTGCCGAAACTCCTGAGCTTGCTCAGGGATCCTTACGTTATACACCTGAACATTGCCTTGCAAATGGTGGTGTCCCTTTATTTTGGTGGAAAATGCCATGTTTCAACTGAGCGTTGGTTTTTATTCCCTTCAAGCTTCCGCGGACCTTCCGCATCCTTGCCGCGGGCCAAGAGGTCCCTTCCGCGAGCTTCCGCGGCGCATGTGCTCCATTGGTTGCTTCCGCAAACCTTCCGCGGCGCATGTTTTACAAGATTTGCTTCCGCGAGTATTGGCGCAGGAAGAGAATGTCATTTTAAAGTAAAGAAGAAAAGTAGCGTTTCGCCGTAGCCTGTGTAGGCTTGGGCACTTACCTGCAAACACGGGGCCATCCTTCCGCGGAGCTTCCGCGAACCTTCCGCAAACCTTCCGCGAAATCCGCCAGCTGTGTTGGTCTTCTTGGCTTGCTGCTGGCAACTACTCTTCTAGTAAGCGTTGCGTTTCTTGTACGCAGCAACACCTTGCTGCTTCTACTGCAATCCTTTCTCCGTGCTTTTCCGCGCACGCAAACTGAAACAATTCATTTCATATCAGCCACAAAGCTTCCACAAACCTTCCGCGAAAGAATCCCTTCCGCGAAGCCTTCCGCATGCTTCCGCGCGTGTGGCGCAGTGCACATTTTCAATAATACTGTCCCTCGCTCTACTATATTAGCTTGCGGCAAAAAAATCCGCCACTCAACTGGGCAAAATGTATCTTTTAAGGAGCCCTGTTGCTCTTGCTACCCTCTTTCTATGGAGCTGGACAGGGGGCAGTGCTAGGATGTCGGTAGTCTTCCAGAAGCTCTGTTCACTGAAAATGAAGGTTGGAAAAGGGTAGCCCCCTGCAAATCGACACGGGTGCCTCTACAACTGTTGACGTTTTGGGCTCCGTGCTGACCAGCGGAGCTTCAAGCTGCAAAGTCCCAGTCACTGCCAGCAAATCCAAGGCAAGCCATCAAGTATGGGAAACCGTTTCTCACACGAAACCCAGGCAAGCAAAATTGAACCCACGATCCAAACCCTTTTGATTTCCTTTTGGGAAATGAACAAGTGGCTAACTGGCACCAAGCGGACTGAGCTCCAGCTGAATTTGGGGATTGGCGTGGCGCTTCCAGCGCTTCAGCCGAGCTGCGTTGGAAAAGGCTTCGTTCATGTACAGGAGCGCCTGCGGAAATTCTGCCTTCATGAGGTGTGGACAGAAGTTCGCGTCTGACCTCTTGAGGACATGAGAACCAACAGAGGGCTGCCACATTTTTTAGAGGGACAACGGCACAAAAGAACAGAAAGCCTATGCTTTGGGGGAGGGCAACCCCATTGTGGCATGGTTCAGAAAAAAAGACGCCGTGTCCCCGCTGCGACATGGACTCAATGGAGATCAATTCCCAACTTGAGTTTCCAATATGCGACATGGCCCGGCATGACACTTAGCGAACTGATAATTCAAAATCAGTAACAACTGGATGCCGACTCAAGGGGCCTTCATCTCATGTTGGCGCCAATAAACTCCCTATCTCGTAGAGGAGTAGAAGGGCGTGCCTTTTGCCACTTGTTTAAAGAAAACACAACTCAGCCAAATTCAGCCGGAGTTTTACATGGATGGTCCTGCTTCGTACAGAGCCAGAATCGAAACAACTGAAAGCGGGTTGACCTTGCAAGCTGGGGCCGACAGGAAACGCGTGGATTCAAGGTGTGTCGCTTAATTTAAGGAAAGCCGCATGACCTTTCAACTGATTCAAGCGAGCCCCCAGGCCCAGAACAACTTGGCATGTGCCAGCAGTTCCTGCCCACAGCTCCCGGCCCCGGCTCACATCCGTCCAAACAGCTACGTTTCATCCAACCTCAACTAGGTCCTCCAGTACCCTTTTTTCTGCAGTCTCTTGTGGTAGAGGAACCCTCCCCCAAAAAAGGGGAAACGGGCACTACTGGGGGACCTAGACAAACAGGGTTGCCTATAATTCCCCTTTGTACATCACGCGCTATTCCATAAGCTCAGCCAGGCCCTCACTGTTGCTCTGCCCCCAGCTCAGCGCCCACCCCGCGGCCGCAACTCCGGCGGCAAGAGAATCTGCGCCTCCGCAATGTTGCTGCGCACAAACTTGTTCATGGCCTGCAGGGTTCGAAGTTGTCTTTGGTAAGTGGAAACATGGACCAAAACTTGCTGTCCCCTGGCTTATTTGTTTGACCCAAATATGAAGAAATGGCCCCTTAAACCAATTGGGCTGGTTGAGCAGTGGGTGCTCACTGCTTTAACACGAGTCCGAAGATCCTTCCCCTTGAGCCACCCTTTGACCCGACCCAATCCCGGCCTCAAAGCCCCCCGGCATCTGTGCCACGAGCCCGTCGATCCTCAATGGAACGCGCACCCAAAACCGCTGACTTTGGGGGGGGGGGGGGGGGGGGGGGGGGAAGGGGGGAAGGGGGGGGAAGGGGGGGGAAGGGCGGGGGGAGGGGGGGGAAGGGGGGAGGTGATGTTCCACTGGGCTTGAGGGAAAACGCACTGGCGGAATGCCCTTCGTCATGAAAGGAACCACCTAGTTGCATCTTGGTCTGTAAGAGGACCTTTGCCTTGAGCAGTGGCATGCCATGGACCGCCTGCACGCTCCATTCATATCACTTCATCTGCAATATGGGGTTCCTGCTTGGAATGCTGCCGCTCTCCAGGTCTTCAGGTGTGCAGCTGGTGCCCAGAAAAAGTTATGCCCATGGAAGTGCAACTGTCCCTCTTCAGGGGTCGCAGGCAGACCGGGATTGTACCACAAAGGTCAATCTCATGTAAGTGGCGCAGCCCCGCCCTTCAAACCAGCACGAAACCCCAACAATGGTCTTCCAGGATGCTTCTGTCGGGCACGCATGGCTTGACAGCGACAAAAACAGATGAGCACAATGCGCGAGACCCGCTGAATAAAAAGCGAACAACACGCCCGTGGGTGCCGCTACCAGGAAACAAACAAAGAACCACACCAACGGAAAGCACGACACGCAAAGCACGACAACGCAAAGCAAACACCAAGAGGAATCCCTAAAAGGAAAACACACACACACACAAAACACCACCGGCTTGTTTCTTCTGGGAGTGCTTGCCACCCGCTTGCCTCTTCAAATCCCACCGGGAATCCTGGACCACATGGGGGAAGACGAAACTCGGCCCAAACGTGGTGTCTCCCAAACGTGGTTTCTGGGTTTACGGGTTTAGGAGCTTATCCAAAGACTGGACCCTAGGAACTGAGAAAAGGGGAACAACACCAGACAATTTCCTTTCAGCTCTTGGGCTCAAGTGCAGCGGACCAAAAACCCGATGCAACCATTGTTTGCCCCACCAAAGGGAACCCCAGATACTTGACACCTAAGGACCTAGGGGCCTGCTTTGCGGATTCACCACCCTTTTTTCAACTGGGGACTAGGGGTGTATCCTTTCCCTTCCGTCCACAAATATTCACATCCCATCCCCCCGCCGCTGTTTGGGTGCCTCTCAAAAAATAGGGGACCCACACACAAAAATTGTAGTTTCCGTCTTTGCGCCCCTTTTAAAACCAAAAGATTCCCCCCCCCAGACACCCCAAAGAAACGAAGCACCCCCCGCATGCATCCGTTTCACGTTCATTCACCCCCCCAACCACCACAACCACTCCACAACCCCCCCCAACCCCAACCCCCCCCAACCCCAACCCCAACCCCCCCAACCCCCCCCAACCCCTCCAACCCCCCGAACTGCCCGAACTCCCGCCCCCAATTCCCTCCTTCCGTTCCCGAAACCGCTCCGAAAACCGAAACCCGAAAACCGATCCGAACCCCCGGACACCCGAAAAACAAATCAGGCGGCATCTCTTTGTCCTTCTGCACCGACGCGGTGGCCTCCTCGAGGCGCAGCGAGCTCAGGCGCTTGGCCAGGTGCATGGCCACGTCCACCCCCGCCTCCCGCATCCCGAATCCCGCGCGCGGAGCGGGGAGAGGGGAGAAGCGATGGCCCAACACAACGCAACGAAAACAAGAAACCACGGAAGTGTTGGGGAAGGAACCACTGGCCATGTTTTTGCTTTCTTTTTTTTGGTGTTCATTTAGTAGAAACCACACAACTCATTGGAGGAACCGCTTGCCATTGGATGCTTGATGTTTATTGTTTAAGAAAAAAACAAAAGAAAGCACCCAAGTGAGTGGAGCAACTTTCTTGGGAACCAAAATTTGGGGAGACACCAAAATGCAAAACCTCGAAAGAGCCCCCCCCCAAAAAAAAGAGGGAGAAAACAAAAGAAGAAAACAAGACCCAATAAAAAGGCACGCCCACGTCTGAGATCGGAGAAGCTGGCTTTGTGCTACACAAACGATGGATTGCATGGTGAAGGCGGTTTGAAGCAACAATGGCGCGCGCTGCCAACTCTGCACTTCTGAATCTCCGGCCTTGCCCTTATGCAGCACACCGGTGGCAGTGCAAAGCCAGAGTCCTGCGGTGAGTCGAGGAACTGCCCCAACGGACCAGGTGCAGTGGGAGCGTCAGTCTCAACCGCATGCGAAGTGAATACTGGGGGCCTGGATGCCGTGGTATTCTTGCTGGGCCGCGAGACAACAAGAAGCAAGCCCAGAAGTAGAAGTGCAAAGAAGAAAAGGACCACGCCTAGTGGCGTAGCGCAATCGATTGAAACAAAAACCACCCTGGAATGGTGGCTCCTTCGAAGTTGCTCTGCTTGTTCTTTATCTCCTTGGTTTGCAAGACCTCGAAGAGGCACCAGGCCCTTGTCAGCGGCATTGCCTCGTCATCTAAGATCCTCAGCCGCTTCCCGGCACCAAACTAGAACTGAACCCCAAGGTAGTGCCAGACTTTAACAAAAGCAACCTCTCTCCCACGTGCACGTGTACTGGCTAGTTGTGGTATGCAGTGTCATCCCGTCCTAATGTCCAGCGAGATTTGTCCGCCATTTGGTCTTCCCCCTGCCCCCTCCCCCAGAAAAAAAAAGGAAGAAAAAAAACACCCAGCCCCAAACCCACACCGACAATAAACGGCCGGCTCACCGGCTCGAACGAGCCACTTTTCATTGGCTTAATTATCCGTTTATCCAGGCGTCATGGCCGTGCCGGAGCAATGGCCGCAATTCAAAGTCAAGTAGAACGAGGACTCCTCCCAGCTCTCTCCCACCTCCTCCGAGACCTTCCACTGGTTGTTGCCTCGGACTCTCTCAGACCAAGCGGAAAGAAGACGTCGGAGAGAAAAGTGGAGAGAAAATCGGAGCCCCAAGTCCCAAGTGATCCCCCCCCCCCCCCGAAAAAGGCGGTTGGATCTATCTGAGGCCTCCAAAAATGGGAGAATCAGACACCCCCCCCGTAAAAAGGCTTGAACTGGGAATCTGGATCTTTTGACCGGTCAGGCAAATGGATGAGTAGCTAGAACCCGTGAGGGTAGATGTTGTAAATCTTTTCTGAGCATCATGAAGGACCCCCATGGACCTTCTGCTCGGGTGAGGTCGCAATCGCTTGGAACCGCTATTTTGCCGCAAAGGCCCACCGGCCAGGGAAAAACTCCATCAAATCAAACGCCCCAGAACAGCGAAAACGTGCGATCCAAACGGGGAGAAGAAAACAAAAAACGATTCAGAACACCAACCGCCTTGGTCACCAACGTGATCAAACACCCTCATGACTCAGGAAGGAACCTTCAGTGCGATTCTTAGTGGCTGCGAGTCCCGCCCAATGGGGGCAACTACCCAAGGCAAAGCTAGCAATGGACATTGTACACAATGATGCATGGGTTCAGTCTTGCGATCGCATCATGCCCCACTCCAATATAATATTGCTCATTGAACCTCACGATGGAAGACAAAGGAATAAACCCCCACCCTCTGGGCGTGCAGGTCCCACCCAGTTCCTCTAACAACAATGACCCTTGCAACCCACGTCACTTTGCGGAAGTGTTTCGCAGGCAAGTCTGGTGATAGGGTTTGTCCCAACTGAGTTGGTTGCCCCTCAGTTTCCCTTTAACATAACCCAAAGAGGGTACCCAACAAAGACTCGCCAATGGGTCGCACTCCAACATCATCTCAGCCATCAGCCCATAGACGTGGTGCTAAAGCTGCAGACCCAGTACGTGCGATCTGACCAGGCGTTGCGTCCTGTCCTTGGCAAAGGCGAGCCTCACTTTGAAAACGGGGGCAGAGCACCAACTGATTGAGCTTCTCTTGGCAAGCTCTTGTGCAGCCAACTGGTGTCCGAGTCTTTCAAACAGCAGCCGGTAAAAAGCGACACCGACTTGGTAAACGATCAGCGGCTCCTGGCTCTAAGGAACACACGGCCAAACATGCTGCCCAAGGCTCGTTGGAGCAATGCACTCAGCATGCTTCCGCACGCTGTGCACAAAGTGGCGGAAGGGGGTGCCCCAAAAGTGAGACACGAACCACATGACCTCGCGGGGTCCTGGACGAGACATTCAGTACTGTTCAACTAGCTTCCTCGCTGATTTTGGCCAAACAAGAATCGGGAGCCTGAACTGTTTGCTTTCCACTTTAAATGGTCCTCCCAAGGCGAGCCGAAATTATTGAGCCCAGAAAGCTGGAAAAGTGTTTGCGCAGCCTGACCCAACCATCCCCACACGAACACGAAAAACAACGGCCATTGTTTCTCCTGCGAGCTCCGCGTAGGAGAGGCGCTTCTTCTTCGTGAGGGGCATCAACAAGTTGGAGACCACGTAGTACATGGTTCGCTGTTGCCCTGAGATGGTCTAAACGTATTCCTACTTGAGTGGACTGGCCAAAGACAAAATCTTACCACTAAAATCGTGATCCCATTCTTTTCAAAAGTTCCTCAACATGGGGAAGTGAGACATGCGTTTGAGGCGCATACACAAGCTACCCGTTGAACAAATAACTCTTCTCAGAAGGGTCTGGCAAAGCTCCTAGCCGTGTGACCAGGCTTACCCGGAGTCGTGCTGCCCAACCCCATTGCCAGGTGGCAGACTGACTAAAACTTGAGAGACGAACCATCCTCCACACTCCCCGCGCTGTGAACCAGGAACGCGAGGCGAGCTAAGCAAATGGAAGAGCATGTGTCTGGGCAAGATCTACGTCGGAAACCAGGCCAGCCCAAGAAACAGGAACGTCGAAATGGCAAGTCTAAAAACCTTCCACCCACTCCTCCAAGGTCCACACTCATGGTTACAGGAAGGCTCCAACAACGGCTGCTCTGGTGGCCCTTCAGTTAGCTGGCTATGTTGGGCTGCACCCTCCTTCCTTGCTCCCCCCCCCCCCCAACAAAAAAAAAGAAACAAAAGAAGAAACAAAACAATCCCAGCCCGCATCTGCTGGACGGTCGTGTTGCCTTTTTATCCCTCAAACTGCCCGAGAGCTCCGCCCGGCCGCCAACCGGGGCGCGGATCAGGGTCTCGAAGCTGGTGAAGAAGCGCCAGAGCTGCCCTGCCTGCACCGCACGGTAGGGCCCACGCTCGCAGGCCCGCGGCTGCGGGTTGGCCTCGGGCGAGGGGCGAAGCCGGCGAAGCACTGCCCCTGCGCGGCGAATTCGGAGAACCCCGATTCAGCCCAGGGCGCCCAAAAACAAAAAGCCCAAAGTGACGCTTTGCCCCTAAAAATGGGACCCCGCTTGTTGGATTTCTATATGTTCCCCTCCCGTGGAACCCAAAAACGGGGCCAAACTTGGAGGAACAGGTCAAGAACAGCAGCAAAGACATGTTGGCTGACAGAAGCACATCTTCCTTTACGGCGGCCGTGTTTGACTAGTCGAGAGTTCACCGGGGCTGAGGGTTACTTGCGCTCAGAAAACACCCGGACCGGGCCTGGGACGAAATGAAGGGATCATGTGGACGACAGGCATACAATCAAGTACGGTTCAATAAATCGCGCTTGCGCGCCTTCAAGGGCAAGAACGAAAAGGAGACAAACCCGAGGTCTTGATGTTAAGAACCCCCCAACCTCCTTTCTGCTTGAAATCCTCAAATCCAAAGCCGGCCAAAAGGGACTCAGAAGCAAAGCCTCTGGCATGCGTGCACAAGTCTTCAAGTGCAGCTGCGGGGCTCTGTGCAAGTCCTTGGCATGCTCCTGGCATGCATCGTCTAACTTCCGCCCAGCTCCCCCAATTCCAGCGCTCTACTCTGAGTTTAAAAGAACAAGGGCAGACTGGCAACCAACTAAAGCTCCAAACGGCAGCCAACAGTTCCACGTTCCCTCGGATTGTCTCAACCCTTAGAAAACCACCCATCAAAATCAAGGCCGCCGTGTCTTGAAATTCCAGGACCAAAGAAAGCCCTTTGAGCACAGAAGTCGTTTTGAAAGGTTATTTGACACTCCGCGCTAGGCAGAGTCTTGCTTAATACGTTGATAGTAATCCAACATAAATCCAATGTCGATGTTGTGATGATGGCCGTTTCCGAAGCCAGCAAAGCGGGTACCAAGCCTCTCAACATTGGCTGCCTGGCTGCTGGGCAATTCCTCAAGCCCCAAGCCTTCTTTATAAAAGGGGGAATACCTTGAAGCCACCCCCAATTTGGGCAAACCCACTAAAACATCAGATTCCCCCTTGAGGGACCCGCAAACCCGTCCTACAACACCGGTTTTCCCGGTCCCTCACCTTGGCTTTCCCGGTTTTTGCGGCGGAGCATCTGATCTGATGCGATCACACAGCACCCGGCACGCTGCATGACCCCCGTCCTGCAGCTTGTGCTGCCGCAGCGTCAGCGGGGCAAGCTTCCATTGCAGGGCCAAGATCACCAGCGCGAGCACCAAACCTTCAACCCGAAGACAATGGGAAATGCTTTCATAGGCATTTCATAGGCCTAGAGGCCTTTCCTTTGCTCGTGAGGAAAGTGGCGGGTCCAGCCGGGTCCAAACCAAGCACTTAAGGTGCCACACAGTCATGAGGCCACCAAAAAGTATGGTACCGCACGATGCTCAGGGAGGGAACTTGCAGATACTCTGCAAAGGGGGCCATTGGTGAATTTCTGTGTAAGAGCTTTGCTTGGGAATCTGGTGTGTGAAGCTGGTGTGTAAGGCCTATCTTGAACAGCCTTATAGCGGTGGTCTAGCTGTTAGAATATTTGGAAATGAAACTACACATTTCAAAAGTCTTCAAAAAACAGAAAACACACAGTTAGAATAAATCGAAACGTGAACTAGAATATTTCGACCAAACCAGTCAGAATTCATCGAAACAGTTAGAATATTTCAAAACAATCGTTTCTGTTGGTAACAGCTACTCTGCAAGAAATGTCCTGGCTGCTAGCCCGGTGCTATGTATATGAGGTTTTCAGAAAATCATGTGGGTCCCATGATTTTCCATTTGGGTCTGTCTTTCTTTCGAGGATATATACCCTTTTTGCTGGCTGGCTCAAAGCAAAACCAAACGGAAACCAACCAATTTGAGGGGTCCCGCAAAGAACGACACGCGCATTTACCAAAGGAATGCATTGCTTCTCCCTTTTTCGGCAGCAGCCCGACGAGCCATGCCCCTCTCCGACGAACAGTTAGAATATTTCATATACAGCCCTTTGTCCACAGACTCAAACGGTACCAAGCCCACAATATTCATGAACACCAAGTGGGGGTGCGCAGATAGAATATTTGCTTTGGCAAACCTTCGTCAGGCGAACAATCGTATGCATAAATTAATAAATATAGAGATAGTAAATAGTGGATTGCGTATTTTTTGAGGGCAGTATATTCCAACAGGGGGGGGGGTCTTCCTTTCAAAAAAGGCGTGTACGTGGCCGACCTGAAAGGAAGAACCACTCAAAAACTTGGAAACCGACAACAGAAACGCCCCAACACACCATGAAACAAGCAGAATCGTGCCTTTCAAGGAATCCTGCATGGAACCTGATACAGCATTGCAGGGTGATCAGAAGTTCGATGTGCCTTATTCCATCTTATTTCCCTAAGGCCTGGTTGCAGGCCAGGAGCCCGCCACAGCGCAAACCAAAATGAAACGCCCCTCCAATGGCAGCACAAAAGTCGGCACGAGGATCATTGCCAGCGCCCCGGCGATCCACCTCAGCCAGGGAAAAGCGGAGGGCTTGGTTACACATACATATGGGTATGGCTCAAAATTAAACAGGAGGGGTTACGCAGGTTTTGGTCCATGTTTCCACTTGCCAGGGCAAGCCATTTTGGTACCGTTTTTTTGAGCCACAGCCATATGTATATACACACACATATACACATGACGTACGCCAAAGGCACCAAAGCCCCGTCAGAAAATGTAAATGCCAAGCTTTCGCCGGAAGGCTTGTCAATTTCCTGGTTGGTCCGTTGCAACTTATCAGGCTCAATGACAAAGAATCCTGGAGCGCTGCAAGCTTTGCGGGCGGATTCAAATCAGCATGATCCACGCAGTGCTTATAAGAAGCTGCGACATGCTAAGCCAATCAACTTCCGTGCCTTGTGTAGCACATCGTGTTTCTTGCCCCTCGCGAGTCGCACCCCGCGCAATCTGAGTTGCACCGGAAAAGCTATGGCGTTGCTGCGGCGTTCGGTTGCGAAGCTGCGCACTAGGGCGAAACATATGTGTTTCAAACTTAGCTTTTGGCATCAACACAAACAAAGCCTGACCCACAGCAGAACCGCAGTTTCGCCAGCTGGAACTCACCAACAGTCAACAAAGCGTCTCTCCCGCCGCTTCGAACGCCTCAAAAAGCAGTTTGCCTGGTTCAAGCAGCACTGGAACCTGGAAACCAACTGAAGGGCGTCCAAATCCAGAGGGCCTTCCGCTAGCAGCCCCACACAATTTGACACTTCAACTTGCGCAAAACATATTAGCGAAGGGAGAGCCTTTGACCCCTGCAGGAAACTTTGCCCGGGATGCTGGCGTAGCATACAGTAACTATAGTATAGGTCAAGGCTTGACAATGAGGAATTGCCGGACTGATCCAGGAATGATCCAGGAAGTGCCTTGGGGGCCCTCACGAATAGAGCTTATTTGACTGGGTTGATCCATCGGCCTCAATTTGTGTCTTTGTGACACTCCCCTAGCCTGCAACCCTGCTTCAGCAAGTGGCACCCGCAAGAGCTAGCGGGAGGCCCCTCAAACAAAATGGCGCCATACCCCAAAAGCTGCTCTTGTTTCACAACTGGGGCTTCAAAACTAACCCCGGAGTGCTCAATCAAGATTTGAAAAAAGACAGGGTTGCCAAAGTTGACCGACAAACTCGCAATTCTTGGTTTTCCAGGTAGATATGCAAGCAAGATTGTAATCAATTGTTGTGTTTGCAGAACTAGTTGTTGCATGCATGTTCACATACAACTATATATATATATATGTGTATAATGTGGGCGTGCGTGTTGCTCAAAATTAGGTACCCCTTCCGTGTGGTTGGTTTTCTTTGCGGTTCCAAGCTCCCCTTAAACACCAATCAAAAAGGTTCCTGTGAGATAAACCCTTGTCCCACCCAAATGAAGGAAGATCCATTCAAATGGCCATGCGTTTGTTCCGCTACAGGCCAGCCTAAGCACAGCCTTCAAGAACTACCAAAAGCTTGTCCATGGCTTCTCCAGGAAGGCCCTCCCAAAATCCCCAAATCCCTGGGGACCTGAGTGCCAAGCCAGGTAGAAGTGTCTAGAATGGCCAACAAGGGTTTGATTGGTTCTTTGGATTGGTGAGTTGGTGACTTATTTACTTCGAGGTAAGGGGTGGTGGTTCTGAGTCTCAGCCAACCCTCCAAACCGCCAATCCAAATCAATGACAAGGTGATATTTAGCGGGTCTGGAAACAGGGTCACCTATTGGGCCGGAAACAAAAGGGGGCAATTGTCTGTCAGCTTAAGTAAGATTCTGTGGGCTGAGTATTTATCCTCTAAGCTTGCTCCGCCAAAGAGGGGATAATGCAAACACAACACCATCAACATTGAACATCAGCACCAGACAAATTGCAGACCACTCTATGTCTCTCAATAGCACCTGGGACTCGTTTAGCAACCTTTCTAGCATCACAAGAGCAGCGTTTGATCTCAGTGGCGAAAGCCGCGGTCTGAGCCTGCCCTGGGCCACCTAACGCAGGCC